AATAAAATCTTTAAAAAATAAAATTAAAAAATTTAAAAAGGACATCAGTGGAAAAATTGCAGAAGTCTGAATAAAGTCTGTAACTTGTTTAATAGTATTGTACCAATGTTAATTTTCTTCTTTTTTTAAGAGCAGGAGAGAGGGGTAGAGGGATAGAGGGAGAGGGGAAGAGAGAATTTTTTTTTTAAGATTTTATTTATTTATTTGACAGAGATCACAAGTAGGCAGAGAGGCAGGCAGAGAGAGAGAGGAGGAAGCAGGCTCCCCGCTAAGCAGAGAGCCCAATGCGGGGCTCGATCCCAGGACCCTGAGATCATGACCCGAGCCGAAAGCAGAGGCCTAACCCACTGAGCCACCCAGGTGCCCCGGGGGAGAGAGAATCTTTTTTTTTTTTTTAAGCTTTTATTTATTTATTTGACAGACAGAGATCTACAAGTAGGCAGAAAGGCAGGGAGAGAGAGAGAGAGGAGGAAGCAGGCTCCCCGCTGAGCAGAGAGCCCGATGTGGGGCTCGATCCCAGGACCCTGGGATCATGACCCAAGCCAAAGGCAGAGGCTTTAACCCACTGAGCCACCCAGGTGCCCCGGGAGAGAGAATCTTAATCAGACCATGCCCAGCACAGAGCCTGAGGTGATACTCAGTCTCACGACCCTGAGATCAAGACCTGAACCAAAATGAAGAGTCACACACTTAAATGACTGAGCCACACAGACACCCCAATTTCTTTGTTTTGATAAATGTCCCATGGTTACATAAGGTTACATAAGGTTACATAAGGTTACATTAGGGGATGCTGGGTTTAGAGTATATAGGAAGTCTGTACTATCTTTGCAACTCTTCTGTAAAACTAAAATCATTTGAAAATTGAAAGTTGAAAAAAGAAAAATATTTTCATCTAGTGATAAGTTGCTCAGATGTTATGAATCTGTACTATTAAAATAGTTTGCATCAAGGCAAGTGTAGTAAAATTGCTGGGACATAAAGCTTATGAGGCTATATTTTGTAATAGAAAATCATGCATACAAAAGGAATAGGTAATTCACCTATATTTTTCTTCAGATATTTATCACAGAGTTCTTTTGTTCACTTGATGGAGTTAACAAAAATATTCTGAGAATTATTTCCTTTTTCTTTTTTTTTTTTTTTAAAGATTTTATTTATTTATTTGACAGACAGAGATCTCAAGTAGGGGGAAAGGCAGGCAGAGAGAGAGAGAGAGAGAGAGAGAGATTGGAAGCAGGCTCCCCACTGAGCAGAGAGCCTGATGCAGGGCTCAATCCTCATGACCTGAGCCAAAGGCAGAGGCTTTAACCCACTGAGCCACACAGACGCCCCGACAATTATTTTATAAGAAGCAAACCTGAAGTAGGTATAATGCTATCTTGTCTAGCTTATCCATAGGATAAGTAAGATTGACTTCCTCTCCCCTTTTTACCAAGCCAAGGTATCACTACAAATTGGAGTAACAGGATAGTGGCTTCAAGAGCTCCCCTGGCTAGGTTCAAAGAATTGGTGTGTCTTTCCCTCTGTACTCCCCATCAGTCTCACCCACACAGTTAAGTTATTCTCTTGTCTTCTCAGGATGTTGGAGGAAGGGGAAAGGGAACAGTAAGTTCTCTCCGCAAGGGTAAAAGCATGAATAATTGCAAAATTAAGGAAGTAAAAGGAAGTTGAAGAGAACAGAAACTGGCCATACAGTCACTGGGAAGCTTGTAAATGGAATGCACAGTCCAAATGTGGTTCCATTTCTTAGCAGCATGCTCAGAATTCTGCACTCACCAGCTCTTTCCCCAGTTCTGCCACTTTGCCAAAGCCCATGAATGACAATGCAGGAAAGGTTTGTTTGTTTGTTTTAAGATTTATTTATTTGAGACAAAGCCAGTGAGGGGAGGGGCAGAAGGAGAGAATCTTCAAGCAGACTCCCCACTGAGCCTGGAGCCCGGTGTGGGGCTTGATCTCATGACCCACGAGATCATGAGCCATGAGATCATGACCTGAGCCAAAACCAAGAGTTGGACACTTAAGTGACTGAGGCACCCAGGCATCCCAGATGATGCGGGAGAGTTAACATGAAAAAGAGTACTACACTGTGTAAGTGTTGTTATGGGATACATTGTGGATATACTAGGTATTGTAATTACAATGGTGAGGGGCACCTGGGTGGCTCAGTGGGTTAAAGCCTCTGCCTTTGGCTCAGGTCATGATCTCAGGGTCCTGGGATCGAGTCCCGCATCGGACTCTTTGCTCAGCAGGGAGCCTGTTTCCTTCTCTCTCTCTCTCTGCCTGCCTCTCTGCCTACTTCTGATCTCTCTGTCAAATAAATAAAACATTTGGAAAAAAAATTACAATAGTGAGATTAAAAATGCTTATATATCAGTAAGAAAGTACAGCTTACTCGAGTGTTGGGGAATGTGATAAAAAAGATGTGACTGCTGTTTGACCGTGAACTAGACCCAGGCACTCAGAGGTTCCTCACCCCCTCCTCGTCCATGGAATGTGGGTTCCACTTGCCTTTCCCATTCCCAGAGGCGTTAACGACATGGCCTTGAGAGGGCGATGTGTTGAAAACACTTGCACAGTATATGTTACTGAACCCAGTTAGTGCCTCTTAATAAACTTTTGAGGTTTAAAGGCCAGGTGTGGAGACCCATTCATCTTGCTGCCTTTCAAGACAAGCCTCATATGTAAATTCCCTTTTTATATTATTAAAACTGCCACCTACCAACCTGGAGTGGCCTGCCTCTTTCTTCATCTCTCCCTGACCTCGGTGTACAGGAGCCAGTTTCAGATTACACAGGGAAAGTGCCCCAGAGGATTGAAAACCAACATTAAGCTAATATATGATCTGTAAAAAGTTACCTCTGTCATAGTATATAATTAGCTTTTTTATATGGATCTAGGTGTCAAGTAAAGCTTCTTTAAGATACCTTTAAATGTCTTGATCTTTATTATTCTAGTGACTTCAAGGAAAGACCACATTTGGTGACTTTGATAACTATTCTCAAGTTTACTTATTCAAAGTTCTTGGGGTATAAGGATAGACCATTGGATACATCATTTACTCATGAGCATTTCAGATTTTTAAGACCTCTTATTTCTTGCAAGCCCAGAAAAAGCATAATCAGAATTTTTCTTATTGCATTGTTGATATTGTATTTTTAGACTCAGAATGTCAAAGCAGCCAAATGAATTGGCAGATTCTGAAAAATGCTTTCTCATAAGCTGAAATTCTTGGTATTTAAATATTTCAGGAACTTGTATTATAAGGTACTATTTTGCTAATTCTACTCCTTATTTTTATTTAGAACATCCAAAACACTATAAACATAGGTAGAAATTAGAGCTCATAAACACAGTCGTATCATCTTTGAAAATAAAAAGAGTGATATATTTTACCTGGCGGTATTTGGTATTTATGTGAAGGTATGGTTGGAAATACCAGTTTGTAATGAGTGGTCCTTTTCCACATTACATATGTAGTGGTTCATGGTTATAAAATTGTTCATTTAGAGAGGTATGGTGGTTTAAATAGAGCATGGAAGTCATACAGAATGGATCTGAATTCTGCCTCTTAAACTTACTATCTGACTAATCTTGTGTAAGTTGCTTCATCTTTCTGGGCCTCAGTTTTCTCTTCTATACAATGGGGATTAAGTGAAATAATATATGTATGATGTCCAAAACAGGGTTAGCCCTCAGAAGATAGCTATTAGTAGAGTTCAAAGGATTAAATGTTCACTTACGACTAACTACATTTAATAATTTAAAGGATTTCTTTATATCATGTTGCCAGGAAAAGGGCTTAGGTATTAACAAGTATAATTTTTCTAATTTTCTAAATCATATAACTTATAGAATTACATGGTTTTAATGCTTGCTCAAGAGTCAAGTTAGGGAACAAATCCCAGGGCCTACCCTAGCCCTAGGGAATCAAAATCTCTGGAGCATGGAGCTTAGGAATTAAAAAAACCAAAAAAACAAAAAACTCATCTGATTCCGAAGACTATTCAAGTGTGAGAACCACTGAGGCAAAGCTTATGTGCAAGAGTGTACTGAATGAACACTGACATGTTGGAGTGGGGGGTATCAAAGGCAAGGTTATAAATGTGATTATGTGTGTGAAGCTTTGTCAACTATAAATGGAGGTGGTGTTACCCAAAGAAGAATAATCGGAGACTGCTGGTGCTGGAGAGATCTTAGGAAATTGAGGTCCAGAGGTTCAAGTAACTTGTTGCCAAGTTAGGCAGCAAAGCAGCCAAACACACATGTGTTAGAAAAGTGCCAAATGGGTGTTACGAAAGTGCCAATGCGTGTTACAGTGTTTGAGAGCTTGGTGCGGGGAGAGGTTATTGGGGTTGGGGGAGGTCAGAAAAGATTTCATGGGGAGACAAGAACTGAGCTGGGTCTTAAGGGATGATTAAGGTTCATATTAGTCATACAGGGGGAGGGGGACTGAGAAGAGAGGCACAGGGAGGAATGCACAGGAGTTCAAGGGTGTGAGTCAGACCCCGGTGAGGCTGAGCAGGAGACTCCTGTAGAGAGGTAGGGAAAAGAGTGGTGGCTGGAGAAAACTTGCCGAGTGCCTCAAGTCCTAAGCTAAGGAACGGAGACTCTCTCGCGAGCACAGGGGATCCAAAGACGGTTTCTGAGTATTCTCAATAGTTGGAGGGTGAGAGTCTAGTAGCAGGGCCCTTGAATCCAAAGGGTTTATGGACAGAGACTAAAAGCAGGGGCTAATGGAATATTCTAGGAATGAGGCAAGAGAGGTCTGAACAAGGGAGAATGGAAAAAACCCAGATGCTATACAGGGAACTGACAGTTCTTGGGATCTTTGCAGGAATCAAAGCAGACAGAAGAAACCACTGTGTGTGGGAGAGGGTGTGGGTACGGGGGATGGGACTGGGATTATGATCACATCACTGACAGAAAGAGGAAGCCGGGATGGAAGAAAAGGTTGGTCTGAGACGGTGCTCTTTAGGGAAACATTAAACACAACTCACCTTCATGTCCTCAAAGTCTGTTATCCCCATCTGAGGGAGGTTTGAGCAGTTTATGTGAATGAGCTTTCGACCACAGATGAAGTTTGTGGTAAAACACTCCTGTTAGTACAACAAGAACATCACTCAAATGATTATGGTAAACAGGGAAGAAAAGAAAGAAAAGAAGAAAGAATGGAGCAAAGGAGAAGAAAGATTTGGGGGAAGAGATGGGAGTGAGAGAAAAATCAGGGTTTTTTTCTAGTTCTGTACAGGGAAAAAAACTTTAATTTAGTTTTAAATTCAAATTTAAAATAATCCTAATAATCCCACACATTTTCCATCTAAGATCTCCACTAAATTTCATACTGTTCCTTAATTTTTTTTTTTTTTTTTTTTGGGGCATGATACACCTAGTGCTTGCTTCATGCCTTAATTACATTTTTAAGTAGTACCAAAGATTTCAGACCTTATGTTTTTTTGTGGTAGCTTAAGAACATAACTGGCATCAACAAAATGAGAGGATTCACCCTACTTTTTTTTTCAGTTTCCTGTTTTTTAAAATTATTATTTTTTATTGACATATAGTTGATATTCACTCTATCTTTTTAATAAAAGTACTCTTGGTGAATTGGCCAATTTAAATTAATACTGTTAGGGGCTCGTGATACACATGACATATTTGGGGCAGACACTTAAGATTAATAGTACAAGTTAAGGGATCTGCCAGTAAAACAACTTGACAAAGTACCAAAAAGTCTACCTTGGACAAAATCTGTTAGAAAGTTTTCTGTGAAAAGAGGCCTATATACATTTCTTAGTCTTTATTCAAGAATTGCAGAGAGTATACTATTGTGAATAAATAGGGAAAACAAATAAATGTGACCCACCCTCCCTCTATCAAAATACAAAAGACATCAGTGGAAAGAACAAACTTTAAATCCAAGTTACCTCTACCATAGTCCAGGACTTTTTTATGCCCCTTCTAGTGAGGAAGAGGCAAGAGCTCAGGTAAGTGTAAGAGGAATAAGAGATAGAAGGATGAAAGAATGTTAATTTTATAAATGTTATTTTTGTATACCTTGTACTGAGGGAAGCCTAGCTCACTAATCCACTCTGCAACTTTCTCTGGGCTCCATTTAAGATATTCAAATTGTAGTTCAGTACTTTCTTTTGGCTGGGTTTCTTCATCTTTGTGTCCCTGTTTCATCTCTGGGGACAATTCTACAACTTTTTCACTAAAAGACACTCTCAAATCCCTCTGAGAGTCTGAGAGGTAAGAGTGTAAATCATCAGTAACTTCCAACAGTCCTTTAAAATCTTTAGAAAACTCATTACTTACCCTCACTGAGTCTACTTTACTTACTCTCAGAGACTCAAACGTGGACTCTCTTTTAGCCTTGGTTTTTTTTACTGACCACTTTCTTGTTTCATAGTCAGAGTGTTCTAGCTTATCCTTGTCTGGTGAATATTTAAATTTGACTGGTTTTGGCCTATCTTCCTTGAAAAATTCTGTATGTGACACTATTCTTAGTGGCAGTTGGGCTTTATCTGGTAATTCTAGATCTTTCTCTTTAGTTTCTTCTGTTTGTGTCTTCTCTTGAACCTCTGGTTTGGTCTTCTGTGGTGGCCTTTGACCTGTTTCCTCAGTTGATTTTCTTGGTTCTTTCTTTGGAAACTTTGGCTCTAGATCATTCTCCTCTGTTAACTTTCTTATTGTCTCCTCTGATTGGGACTTCTGTGGTGGTGCCAGTCCTGTCTCCTCAGTTGATTTTCTCCACTTATCTTTTTGATCTGATGGTTGAATGTCCTCTAGTGGTTCTAAAACTTTCTTCACAGTTGACTCTTTCAGTGTCTCCTCTTCAACTTCTGGTTTGGTCTTTCCTGATGGCTCTAAACCTGTTTCCTCAATTGATTTTCTTGATTTTTCCTCAGGAAATTCTGATGTGGTCTCTCCGAGTGGCTCTGGAACTTTCACCTCAGTTGATTTTCTTTGGTCCTCCTCTGGATTCTCTGGTTTAGTCTCTTCTGGTGGCTGTAAACCTGCCTCCTCAGTAGCCTTACTTCGTTTCCCCCTTGGAAACTTTGGTTTAGTCTGTTCAGGTGACTCTGTCCCTTTCTCCTCAGGTGACTTTCTTTGTGCTTCCTCTGGAATGGTCATCCTTGGCGGCTGTAGATCTGCCCCATCAACTGATTTTCTTGGTTTCTCACTTGGAAATTCAGGTTTGGCCTGCTCCGGAGGTTCTGGACCTATTCCTGCATATTGCTTTTTAAATGACTCCTCCAGAACCTCCAGTATGTTCTTTTGTAGCAACTCTAATCTTGACTCACTGAATGAGGCCCCTGAAATTTCAGACTCTGTCTCCTCTGGAAGCTCCAGATCTGTTTCCTTATCTGACTCTGTGAGTCCGTCCTCTGTAACATCTAATTTGGCCTCCTCCGGTGGCTCTAAATCTGGCTCCTCTTTATCATCCATAAGGACCTCGGAATCCTTGAAAAGCTCTCTTCCCATCTCTCTCCATGTCTCTGACTTTGCCTCCTGCGGCATCCCTGGCTCAGTCTCGCTAGGAAGGTCTCTCTCGGACTCCTTGGGAATCTCCTCCTTGGACGTGCTGGTCGGTTTTGCGTGTAGGTGTATTTTCTCCGGCGCCCCCACTTCGAGCTCTTTTTCCTCCATCTCTGGCTGGGGTTCCTGGTCAATCTCTACAGGCAGCTCCGGGCCTCCCTCTGCCATGGTGTCGCCTTCGGGGTCTTGAGCCATTTTAAGAGCTGTAGGCAGTTCGACCTCATACTCCAGATCTTCTCCTTCAACCGGGCCGGAATCGTAAGGCTCTGGGACTTCGCCATGACGCACGTTAGCCGACGCGCCCAGGCCTCCTAGCAACCCCAACTTCCGATAGCGTCTCTATGGATACCATGATTTCCGGCCGAGTCTTCCTGAATTTTCCCCAGGTTTTGTTTGTTCTATCAAACCGTGACTAAAAACCTGCGATCAAAAAGCACGCAGGCACCCTCCCCGCGTCCGCTGCCTCCGCTGCCCAAAGCCCCTGCGGCCGCTCGGGGGCCGGCGCGCTGCCCCTTCCGGCCCGCGGGCCCCGCTCGGCTCCTCCCGGCGCGCGGCCGCTGTTGCCGCGCTCGCTCTGCCTTCGGCTGTTTCCGGAGCCACTGGCGGCCGGCGGCGGAGGCGCTCGCGGAGCCGGCTGCAGATGTCGGAGCAGCAGGCGGCCGGGGGGCCGGCGGGCCGCGGCGGGGACGGCTCGGGAGTGGAGGGGAGCCAGGCGGCCGCCTCAGGTACGCAAGCCGGGGGGCGGCGGGTGGGTCCGCCCGGCCTGGGGGCCCCGCTCGTCGCGCGAGGCTCAGCCGCGCCCTGTGCCGCTCTGCCCCGCGCCCCTCGGCGGTGCGGACCCGCCCGGGCGTCCCCTTCGCGCGCAAAGCCCCCGCCTTCGCTCCCCCGCGGAAGCGCCCCGGCCCCCGCCACCCCCGCCCGGCCCGGGACTGCGCTCGAGCTTGCTCGCTACTCCTGTTTCGAAACGCTGTGGTTCCCGCCCCGCTTCCTTTCTCCGTTCGGCCCAGATAGCGGCGACGGGGCTGCTCTGCCCCCGGCGCCTCCTGAGCTTCAGCTCGCCCGCGGGTCCCTCCTAGGAAGCGGCCCCCAGCCCCGCCGGCTTCGCTGCCCCCTGCTCGTGGCTCCGCACCCCGCTGCCCTGCTCTGTCCCTGCCCAGCCTTTACGCGCTCGCTCTGCCCGCGGCCGGCGGGGCAACCTCGCCCGCCGCTGGCCTGCTCCCCGCTTGGCCCCGGCCCCCCAGCACACAGGCCCCCGCGCCTCGCCGCCGCCGCCTCTCGGTCGCTCGGAGAGCGGGAGACGAGAAGCGGAGTGGGAGCCGGGAGGTGCTGGGGTCCTCTGAGTTGAACGTCGCGGCCGCAGCAAAGGCAGGACCTAGGGGCTGAAAGAGGGACTTTGGCGACCTCCCTCCTTCGCCGGCGGCACCCTCGTCTTCTGGTTCAGGAGACGCGCGCCTTTTCTACCGATGCGGGTTCCTGCGCTGGGGGTCTCAGCAGCCAGAGGCGAAGGGTGCATCCACCGCACTTTGAGCCCTCGGGCTTCCTTCTACTCGCCACACGTGGAGCTTTAGAGGGTTGGGGGAGAGAACTGGTTTCACTAAGTGGCAAGTAGAAATTAATTTTTCCAGTCTGGAATGGAAATAGAGACCATCAGCTATAGTGGTAGAGGTGGTGCGGGCGCCTGGGTTGGAGTCTGAATCCTCAGTGTACTGATTAAGTGACCTTGGGCCAGTCACTTCTCCCTATCTCCATTTCCCCATCTGTAAAATGTGGGTCCTGATAGTACCCGCCTAATAAGATTGCACGGAGAGTTACATGAGCCACTGTGGGTGCGGCCCTGGTGCCTAGCCCCCGGCACACACTGTAACTGGTCTTATTCATTACTGAGAATCAGATCTGTTGTGTGCCCACCTCAACTCGATGTGCTGTCATAGGTGTTCCTGGATGTGTGTTTTCCTGCATGATGGTTCTTGTCATCTTTTACTTCTATCCCAAGTATCTCCCGTCCTCTAATACTACTTCAATCAAACACACAGACGCCGTTGAATCACCCAGCTTTCCCCCATGACTTTATGATTTCTTACTTTAAAACATCTAACAATTTTTGCCCTTTTTTCCTTTGTATGAACTTTTATGCTTTGTAGTATGTTCAAAATTGATGGCATGTATTTAATATTATAGCAATAGAAATTTTAAGCACAATTTCTAAAAGATTCAGCAGAGTCTCATTCAGCAGACATATCTCATTGCATATGTCAGTATTTATAAGTTGAGGGTTGTGCTTTTTCTTTTTCTTTCTTCTTCCTTTTTTTTTTTTTTTTTAACTTCCCATTAAGCTCCTTGTATGCTTATGGCAAACAAACCCAAACATTTGAAATAGAAAAGTCTTAAGAATAGTCAACTCTGATGGTGGGCTTGTCTCTGAGAGTGTGATTTCCTCCCTCTACTTTTAAATTGGGTTCTGCATTTACCCCCCCCCCCTCCCCTACTTCTGGTTACTTAATTCCTCTTGCCCTTCAGAGAATGAGTGTTGGTTTCTTTTTCTGTCATGTAGGGGCTTGTTACTGTAGCCCAGAGCACACTCTTCCCCTTGAGGTAGGATTTGTTGCTAATAAAATAATAGTAATGATAACTTACATTAATTGAATGCTTCTCTGTGCCAGAAAGTGGACAAAGATTTACTAATATTATCTGACTTAATCTGGTCAACAGTAATTTTCTCCCCATTTTATTTTATTAAAACATTTTATTTGTTTGACAGAGATCACAAATAGGCAGAGAGGCAGGCAGAGAGGGGCGGGAAGCAGGCTCCCTTCTGAGCAGAGAGCCTGATGTGGGGCTCAATCCCAGGACCCTGAGATCATGACCTGAGCTGAAAGCAGAGGCTTAACCCACTGAGCCACCCAGGCGCCCCCATTTTTATTTTTAAAGATTTTATTTATTTGAGAGAGCATGAGCAGTTGGGAGGGGGGCAGAGGGAGAAGCAGACTCCCCACTGAGCCCGATGTGAGGCAGAGCTGGACCCCAGGACCTCGAGACCACGACCTGAGTCGAAGGCAGATGCTCAGCTGATTGAGCCATCCAGGTGCCCCTTTTTCCTCATTTTATAGAACAAACTATACCTGAGAGGGGTTAACTTACCTGCCTAAGTTACTGTGGTGATTTTACTATCTGTATGAAAATGTCACCTTGTTTCGATAACGCTTACAATCGTTTGTTTTTATTGGCTATTGATCCAGTATTGGTATTCTAGGGCGGGTTATGGTCTTTGCCCTGAAGGTGTTTTTAGTTTGGTAAGAGGAGAGAACCTGGGGAACAAACATCAGCAACTCAAAACATTATATAATTGAGTGTCTCTTATTACAGTTCTTTATGTACTTACCCCCAAGAAATCAGCTTGAGGGGAGGACAGAATCTGTCTCCTGTTTATCTCCTAGAGCCCTTTACGTTGTGTCCTAGAGGTTCTATAAATATTTGCTGGATTGTGAGACAAAGTCTCAACACAGAGACTTGGAGGAGCACCAAACACATATGCAGAATTAGGGTTGAGATAATGAAGAATGTTCCTGGGGTTAAAGCCGGAGTGATTTAGCCTGGGGACGCTCAGGGGATGTTTTGGCTGTCACTGCTGGGCTGGGGAGGAGGGGGAGGACTGTCCGTGATAATTAGTGGGTAGAGGTCAGGGATGCGGAGCAATATCCTGCAATGCACAGGGCACCCCCCGCCCCCCAGCGGAGAATTATCTGGCCCCAAATATCAGCAGGGCTGCTGTTGAGAAATGTTGAGTTAGCATGAAGCTGGGTTTCCAAAGAGGGGTGGAAATCATGCATCTGGCTTGGCTTGGAGTTGTATAACCTGGGGAATAAACTTAAAAATCTCCTTCAGGGGTGCCTGGGTGGCTGAGTTGTTAGGCATCTGCCTTTGGCTCGGGTGGTGATCCCAGGCTTCTGGGCTCGAGCCCCAGCGTGGGCTCCCTGCTCAGTGGGAGACCTGCTTCTGCCTCTCCCACTCCCTCTGCTTGTATTCCCTCTCTCGCTGTCTCTCTCTCTCTGCCAAGTAAATCAATAAAATCTTAAAGAAAAAAAAACCAAACTGCTTCAAATTAGGAGTTTGATTGGATCCTTCTGCGACCTTCCTCTAAAAAATGATCCAGTAAGTAAACAATAGAGGCCTGAGATAGAATGAAATTGAAGGAGGTTTCTGCCATCCTCTCTTAGAGGGACAGCAATAAGAAATGAGTTTGAACATTTTGTTGTTATTGAATTGAAGATTTTTATTAAAAAAAAAAGTAAAGGTTTTGATCTTTCAGTGTATCTTATTCCTTCAAAACAGGAATTTAAAATTACCCCAGATAATCATAACTTGTTTTTTAATATAGTCTGTGCAGAGAGTACCTTTTGCATGCCTTCATGTTCGTTAGCGGAAGTTTTAGTGAAGTCAAAGAACTTCTTTATGTTCTTCTGAACTCAGTGTTACAGTGACCACAGTGCTCTTATTGTTTTGTGAACTGTAATTGTTTCTAATAATCTCTTATTTGGGGCAGCAGGGTCCTTCAGTCCCCAAGAGAGATATCACTCTATATAGTGAAACTCTCAGAGGCATACATGTTGCATCACTTAAGAATAGACTTTTTTTTTTTTTTTTCAAAGTTTAGGGAGCTTTGTGGAAAATAAAGGGCAATTCTCTTATGACCTTGAAGTTAACATTAGAAATGAGATTGGTGTAAATGACCCTGAGAGCTATCAAGGCACTTAGACACTAACGACTGGACGCAGGTCAGGTGAACTTGTCATGATTCTTACGTAGGTCCTAGAGCAGTGTGATAAGTCTTCCTGCAGTAATGGAAATGTTGTATATTGTAGCTATTTCAGTTCAAATTGAAATTAAAAAATTGGTGGCTATCTTACTGGATGGAGCAGAACAGTGGAAATTTATGCCAAAGAACCCTTACAGTTTTTTGGTTTTCTGTTGTAGTTTTATATCAAAATGGTATAAATTTGTCTGGCTGTGGTAGTGGTTTTTTGTTTTTGTTTTGTTTTGTTTTGCTTTCTGATAGTGGTTGTGTTTTTGTGGTGTTGAGATAGCCAGTTAGTCCTGTCATCATTCCAGGATGGTATAACCCAAGGTTTGTGATCTGAATGACCAAGAGGAGCTGATTTCATTCCTAAGGACTGATGAGAAATTAGATCATGTGGTCTTGGGATTTGGTTGGAATATAAGCTGCCAGTTTTTTTTGTTTAAGCCTCTTGAGTTTATAACCACATAACCTGCTTTTGGTTCCTCTGCCCTTGAATCTAAAAGGCCAGGCTAATTATCTCTTTGCAGCCTGTTTAGTGAAGGAGAAGTCCTATGAGACCTGTTCTAAAGAACTCTGACCTGATATTCAAATGCTTTAGAAAAAAAACCTGTTTTTTGGTTCTTTGGAGAGAAAGTACAAAGTGCA